GGAGAAGACTGAGGCGCACATAGATCAAGAGGAGCAACAGCAGGGAGATGTGCACGAGCTTCTCATGGAATTTGAGGGAGTACTGGGCGAACCTAAGGGACTAACTCCACACCGGGAGTTCGATCATCGCATACCACTGGTCAACGAACAGCATGCCATACACGTTCATCCCTATAGGTATGCTCACTTTCAGAAAACCGAGATCGAACGACAAGTGACCGAGATGCTTGAATCAGGACTAATACAGCATAGCAAGAGTCCGTTTTCTTCTCCAGTTCTGTTAGCCAAAAAGAAAGACGGCACGTGGAGGTTCTGTACTGACTACCGAGCTCTAAACGCTGCGACCATCAAGGACCGATTTCCTATCCCGAGTGTTGATGACATGCTTGATGAGTTAGCCGGGTCACGCTATTTCTCTAAACTCGATCTGAGAGCTGGTTACCATCAGATTCGACTCCACAAAGCCGACATTCCAAACACAGCCTTTCGTACACACCAGGGGCACTATGAGTATCTTGTTATGCCATTCGGATTATGCAATGCCCCATCCACTTTCCAGTTCGCCATGAATTCTATCTTCAAGGAGTATCTGCGTAAGTTCGTTCTGGTATTCTTTGATGACATCCTGATCTATTCGAAGTCATGGGGCGAACATCTTGGGCATTTGAGAGTAGTGCTTGAAATTCTGGAGGCTAACTCATTCCACATAAAGCCATCCAAATGTTCTTTTGGACAAATGATGGTTGAGTATTTGGGGCACTTCATATAACACGAGGGCGTGAAGGTCGACCCACGAAAGATTGAGGCTATGGTCGATTGGCCTAAGCCAACAAGTCTCACGCAGTTGAGAGGATTCCTAGGACTCACGGGCTACTACCGAAAGTTCGTGAAGGATTATGGGACCATCGCCAAGCCACTGACAGAGATGACTAAGAAAGGCGGGTTCACATGGACCGAAGCTAGCGAGGAGGCGTTTGGAAAATTGAAGAAAGCCATGACTACAACGCCAGTACTCGCCATGCCCAGGTTTGATGTCTTGTTCGAGGTACACACCGATGCGAGTGACATTGGAATTGGAGCTGTGCTAGTGCAAGAGGGGCGACCCCTAGCCTATCTCAGCAAGGCACTGGGCACTACTCGGTTGGGTCTGTCAGTGTACGTGATGCTAGCAGTTGTCGAGGCTGTAAGGTGCTGGAGGCCTTATCTATTGGGTCGACGTTTTCAGATTGTTACCGACCAACAACCGCTTAAGCACCTATTGGAGCAAAGGATTGTTACCCCCGAGCAGCAGAAGTTCGTGCCTAAACTTATGGGGTTTGACTTCGAGATAATCTATCGACCGGGTCGACAGAACGCA